GCCAAATTTCCCTAAAAAAACAGTTGATTGCTTCTCAATAAAAAGAACAAAGCTTTTGTAGTAAATAAGTAGTTTTTGATACAAATTTAAATGTTTTTATAAGTATATGTTTATTTATATCTTTTAATGTTTTTATACCAACTTGTTAGTGTTGAAATAGGAGAATTCAAATGAAGACAACGATAGATGGAAAAGGTGCGATTGATCTTATCCATTTCACGCGGACACGTGTCGCATTGGGGAAAGCTTCTGATAACGTGATTTATTTGTTTTTCTTATCATTAATGCTTTTTTTCTTTTGTTTCTCTTAGTTTATAGCCGGAAGTATTATCCCAAAATCAGTTTTTGGTATAACAAAAAATACAAATGTATTTCCAATCAAATAGTATCATAAAAATGGTAATACTGGATTACCTCGAGTTGTTGAATTTTCCTTCAAATAAGCACTATAAACAGTTAATTCACTTGATATCACAGATAAAAATGTTAATGCAAATGGATGCATATGAAAACGAGTCGTGTGACACACTTAAAAACTAATCACCAATTTTAAAAACGAGACATGTCGGCAGTGCTAAACACATGTTTAAGCAAAGTATATACACAAAATTTTGATAACTTATAAATATTTACATTGAGGCTGACAAATTTTGACATCTAGATATAAGACCAATAACAGAATAAGTAATGAGAATTTTGACATCTAGATAGAATAGTCACTGGTTTAGGCTGATTTAATAATACGTCGCACCACAATGGAATAGTCAAATGGGATTTGTTATCCTCTATTAAAAAAATCTTTCTCGGGGTAATAGGCGATTGGTGCGTAGCATATGATGTTATTAATCATTCATATGAAGTCATGAACCATCTGAATTATTTAATTAATAATCTAGTAATATGTTATAATGTTGCCTTTAAATAATTTTGAACAAAACGTTTTTTTAAACGTCTAGATTTATTATTATTCAAGAAATTAAATATTTAAAATCGTTAAAAAAAAATATTTGATTAAGAAAATAAATCAAGAGATTGATAACTTATCTAATTTCCATAAAATTACAGCTAATTTCATTGCGATACAAGTTGCTTTAACATCTGATTTTCTTCCCCCCACATGGACAAGTTGTTTTGATTTAAGCATGAAAAATTATACTAATGTGAATACAATATATTTATACATGCATATATAGCCGAGCTAAATATGTATAGATGATGATAGAAAATGCTTAGGTGTATTTGGTACCTTAATCATATGCTTGAATGTGCGTAGATGTATTATTTTGTTTTATTTAATGATGATTACATTTGTTTTTCCCATTTAATACATGTAGGTCCCATAAGACAGGAGAAGGCATGGTTTCTCAATTTACACAAATCTAAAAGGGTAATTTAGTCAAAACCCTCCAAAATCTCTAAGTGAAAAAATAAAGAAACTAAAATATTTGCAGCTCTCTGATTTAGGCAAGTTCCTTATATCGAATTGGTAGAAAATGGATATTAAAATGAAAGATTAGGCAATAACCATAAATAATGAAAAACCGGGTTTACAACTTTAGATAATGAGTTAAATTCATTTTTCTCATTGCATTAGCTGGATCCACGCATCAAGGGTCTTTGGACCCCACTTCCTTCCAATTATATTATATCAATTTCCTTACCCTATATTTTCAACAAATTGACAATCAACCCCTTTATTCTACAACGTTACAAAATGACCCTAATTAGAGCTAAATTCGGAAACAACGTTCAAAATGTTTCATGATTTTCTTCATACCAAGGATTAAACAGAGGATTTCCTTATTTTAAAATGTCGAATCAAATTGTAAAATTGAGAATTTAAAAGAAAATGGATCTCATGTAAAAAAAACAGAAAATGGATCTAAAAGTGAATCATTATAAATTAATGGTCTAAATGTAGAAGAATGGTGAAAAATAAAGGGCATGACATCTCTGC